ATGCAATTTTAAGAATAGGGGCTAATTAAAATTTCATATGCAGCAAGTTAGTCACAAGTTGTTGGTTGTTGTAAGAGAATTTCAGTTGCATATTATATAAAATTGAGGATCGCTCCCAACCCGTGACTAAAGACCCGCAAATGGCGAATTGGCTCGCGACAGGGTTTAATGAAGCAAACATTTTTAAGCAATATTATACATATACATACACATATGATTCAATATGTTTCTGGGTCAATTTTCAGGTTTCCAAATTAAAGAAAAATATATTTTCTTGATTTTTGCAGTTAATTAAAGTTATTTTGGGATAAAACTCAACCGATTTAATTAAATAAATGTTTTTCCTTTTCTCTTTCCAATGTTCAAACATTTACTGGAGATAAAACAAAAATGTAAAATGGTTAATTAAAAACAAAAAGTAAAATACTATAAAAAACATTCCCCGAATGAGGAATTCTGATCCAGATTTTTTTAAAGGTCCAATTGATGCTGAACATTGGACGACGAAACATAAAGGGTTCCAGAAACACCACTTTAAAGGCACCTTGTAATACATTGACGTCAGCGCGTGCTGCCATTAAACGTCGCCCATGCGTACATATAAAACCGAGCAAACAATTGAATTACTTTATAGACCCGTGTCCGAGTGTGGGGCAATAGCGTTTTTACAATAGCAAATATTGTTTCGCGAAAAATGCCCCATAAACCGTTTCCGCACTAAAATTTTCGTTAGCATTATGTACGCAAAAAAAATTATGACGCAATAGATTGAACTAAGGCCTCTTGCGAACAACATTAAAAAATATATATATAAGCGTCCAAATTTAAAGTTTTCAACTTAAGAATTGTCATATTAATTCCAAAATATAAAAGAATTTTTAACACTCAAAAATCACCTTTTACGCAAGAGCTCGAATTTCGATTTTTCATTTTAATGAAATAATAAAAATTCAACAAAAAAGTCATCAAAAGTCATTCTTAAGCCTCTTTTGCATGACACTCCTGAATGTTTTTAATTTGGGACTCCAGCATTAATCATGACATCATCAAATATGTAATAATAACGTGTGTATCCCATTTTCCTTAATAATGCTCTAAAATTGTTTTAATATATTGATGAAATCTTTCACTATGCCAAAAAATTGTGAACTGCAACAAATGAGGAAGTGCAGGAGATCCTTAATGTGTCGCCATTTTTGAGGACCTGCAAATATTCCTGCATTATTTTCTCCCTTCTCTTGAAATTGTTTAATTAATATGCAAGTGTATAAATCACGTTCAAAACTATCGGACACCATCATCACCTCCCGAGGTTTGCGACCTCAAAAACAATGTCACCCCTTTACTATAATACAGAAAATCGATGCGTGCAAAGACGGGCACGTAGAAGACGCGATTGTCAATATTTGCCTTTCCGTTTTTTTTTACACCGGACGTCAAATATTTGCAGACTTGAGTGCTGTTGGGCAAACACTTTTTAATTCCTTCAAGTGGACAACGAGCGATCCGCTTACGCTACCGCATTCCATCGTGTTCCGGAACAGCAAACGAAGCAAAGCAAGACAAAGCAAATTAGTTCAAAAAACAACCCCAAACATTAGCAAAAGTCGATGAGGACTGTATAGAACGAAATACTAAGCCCAAAAGTCGATCTATTCCGTAACTAAATAATAAATAATACTATCACAACGGCTTATTTGCTAAAATAAAAAAGTACAAAAATACATCTTTTTTATAGATTGATATTTATTGATTTATCCCAAACTCTAAAAAATTTTCAAAATATTTTTGCTTTTTCAATTATTACATTACGGTCAGATGCAAAACAATTCTGTAAAACGGTTTTTTGTTATTCCATGTTATTATCATGTGATATTTGCCAGACATTGAAAGATTATTTTGTTTTAAGAAATAAATTGAGCAGCTGTTTCTATATTAAAACGTTCGATGCGCGTCTAGATTGGAATTAGTAAAGACATCGTCGATACAATTCAAAAATTCCTGTCTACTTAGTACAGTAACGTACACTACGGGGTGGAAAATCCAAAACGGGTGATCTGGATGGATGACCAGTTGAAGAGTTCCAACCAACCAAAACTACTCTAACGCAAAACCTGTCAAACTTGGTTAAAATCAAAGCTAACGAAAAACAACTTTGGGATTTGATTGTCTATTGATATAACACATGAAATAACAATAAACCCGTTGAAATAGGCATAGTGAAAAGCAGCAAGGTGTTCAAAATAATGTTGTCTTTCAAATTTCATAAATTAATCAAAATATCTAATAAAGTATGGTAATAAGTATAGGAAAACCCGAAGGGTAATAATTTACGGGGTGTTCTATTTAAAATAAGGAAGTTTTACCATTTGGAATCGTAACTATTTTTATTATTATTAAGTTCTTCAAAGACGAAACACCATATTTCTACATTTTGGTTACCATTACTTTCTGTTGCTTGAATTTTTATTTTATCAGCGGGAATTGAGCAATGGCGTTACTGTTTCGGTCACTTTTCCAGCTATATACCCCATGTTCTACCTCAGCGGCAAAGTGCAGAGTTTTACAAAAAAAAATAATAATAAACAGGTCGACAAGGATCACATTAGCGTGTCGTATACCAATCCCTACCCTTATCAACAAAAATATTTATTGTCGATTTTAATTAAATGCGGTTATATAACGATTATAATACCCGAACCAGTTTTGATCCGTTCGGCTCGAGAGTAAGGTATAAATAAATTTATTAATTAATCCGTTTACCTTTAATTGATGCGTACGAGCCGTTCGCGTGGCAAGTGTGGTACAATGTATACGTATTGCTTATTGAGAAAGATGTTTTTCTTTCGGCAAAAAATAACAACGACTAAAACAACTTCCACCAGCTCCTAATCGTTTTATTATAGTCCGAATACCTGAAATCACTTTTTATAGACAATATGCAGAGTGTTAATTAAGTACATATGTAAATTTTAAATAATCGACACTGTAATAGTAACTTTTAAACCAACTGTACGTAAATATGAACCACATTTTTGCTAATTATTATTTTTATCCAGTTCACTAATTAAATTAAATAAAATAGTAAGCGGCACGGCGTTTCGCGTTAGCCAAGTCTTTTACGTCTTTTTCGTCTAACCGTCGAATAAATACCTAATACCCGTGGTCAAGCGTCGTGACCTACTTTTCAACCTTTCGTCCGTACGCATGAAAAACTAGTCCCGAAATCCAGAAACCATCGCAAAGGGGCTTCCTTTTAATTTCGACTCACGGCCGTTAAAAGAAATAATGTAAACATAGCCTTCTATAATTGTATGCAGCAATAACAAAGAAATACTGTGCTAGCGAAAACTAAACTAAAAGGTATGATATTTTATTAAATATCTTTTTTCAATTGACCGAAATAATTTTAAAAATACAATGAAATATTCATTTACTTATTTCTTTATTGGGATTCTCAGAATCTCTAAGTATCTTATTCGGGTAACCCTTGAAGAAGGTTTGTTTTGGTTAGTTTATTATATTAGTTACATAAATTGGACATCACAATATTATTATTAAATAATGATAGATTGTTCGAATTTTACTAGTCAATTAAGAAGTGGTCTATTCGTGCAAAACAGCACGAATAGATTCACTGGGTGACGTCTGTCGTGAGTATCATAACTGACAAATGTCAAAATGCCAATGTGACACTACCGAAAACATCCGATGCCTTTCAAACCCGTGTTTCAAGTACCGGAAACGTCCGAAGTGGTTAGCGATCGTGAATAACGAAGTCGACGTCTTCAAGTGACACTTTGCGCAAGCTTTTATATCAAAATTTTATTTTTTATTATTTTATATATATATATATATATATATATATATATATATATATATATATATATATATATATATATATATATATATATATATATATATATATATATCGATTTTTCCGGACGAACGAATTTGTGTTACTTGTTTCATTCCGCTGGGACTATTTAAATCATTCGCGACCCCCGCCAAACCACCTCGCAATTTAAAAGAAGCGAATATATATATATATATATATATATATATATATATATATATATATATATATATATATATATATATATATATATATATATATATATATATATATATATATATATATATATATATATATATATATATATATATATATATATATATATATATATATATCCGTGAATCAATACGTGAAAATATATATATATATATATATATATATATATATATATATATATATATATATATATATATATATATATATATATATAATGTTTTACTTTACTTATATTTAATGAAAGGCTGGGCAATTGCCATCGCTGGTCTGGAAGAATATCGACAGAATTAAAAATTAATCAAAAAAAGATTAGTTATGGACGATTATTATCAAAATCAATAAAAAAGTTTACTATTTTTTGAAAACTTTACAGTTTTATAGTTACGACGATGTTTTTTCGAAATAAGGGATATGCTACAGGAAATCGCTAATATTAATTATAATTTAATCTCTTTCAACGTCAAATTCTAATTCGATTTCACGTGGGTATTTACTATTAAAATAAGAATGAAGAATAAAGAATAATAATAAAAAGACATCTACATTGACGTTCTACAAAACACCCCCTCGCGTCTCCACCCCTTGCTCGATTTTCACAGCGTCGAACCGGAAAGCAACTAACGGCAAATTCCGTTACCATACGCGCCCGTTAAATATAACATTATCATTTCCACATCCAGGAAGAGTCAATTTAGACCCTTCGCGATAGCAACGTCGCGTTTGCGCAGACGACACCGGCAACGTCGCTTTCCACCCCCACGGCAAGGCGACAAGCTCGTTCTCTGGTCCTCTTTCAGTCCGTCGCAGGTTGCTCTTGTACGCAGTACTTGGCGACGTATCGAGAGAGTGTGTGTGGGTGCGCGAGTGTGCGAGTCGGGGAGGTGGCGTCAGAAACAGGTGATCGGGGGTGCGTTTGGTGCGATAACGTTTATCTCCGCGCGGGGGTTGGGATGGGCCGAAATTTTTTCACCGGAAAGGGCCCGCACCATCACGAATAAGAATTTCGAAAAAAAAAATTAGTTTGTTCTTTGCGGAAAATTAGGAAAACGAACGAAACCGGCCCTATAGAGTTCCACGCGCCATTTTGGATACCTTTGTGCGGCGTTGTCGTGTTTACGATAAATTAGCAAAAGTTCCTACCAAGATATTAAATTTGAAAAAAAAGTTTGGTTATTTGGTGGGCATTTGTCTTCTCCAGGGACGCGGATTTTTTCTGAGATTTTGGAAATATCAATCTTACCTATAATAAAAAAACGACATCGTTGTTCAATGTCGCGAGAAAAAATTACTAAATTACAAAATTGTAAATTGAAAAATGATTACACCGTTTGTTTTAAAAAAGTAATGATCAAAATATTTTGCAGTAATTTTTCTGTTATTTTGACTAGTTTAAAAATTACTGGCGATTTTTTATGGGCCCTTTCCGTGACAAGAATTGTTTTTTTCGAACCGAGTGGTCTTAGCAGGTGGATAAGATCGGGCCCTATTGGATTCATTTGCGTGATCGTCCAGGACGCAGACAGTTGTATGAGAAGTACGTATGTACCCCTCCCCCCCATAATTGTACGTCCATTTTAATGGAAATCTCAAGATCGACCCACCTTTAACCGCTTTATCGTCGACATTTTTCCCGTATTAACGCCTGTCTATCCTATGTTAAAAGGAAGGAAAGGGAGAGAGAGGGAAAGAGATTGATTGCACATGGCAACCCTGGAGCTCACGTTATTAATTTTTATACACGGGGATATACTAAACACCACAACCTTTTTTTAATATTATTTCGCTTACGAAAAACTCACAAGGTTTAGATATAAGAATAAGAAAAGATAGAGCTACAGAGGTGGCTTCCTACTCCAGGAAATTATTTTCCCCTCGATTTCCACCACGTTTAATACAAATCACTCTTTCGCGTTAGGAAGTCATTTACATACCTACTTATACGCTCGTGTTTACTTTACAATCTTATTAAACGTAATAGTTATAAATAAGTTTAGGTAATGATCGGACAAGCTCCTGGTACTGCTGCTGCTGTTGTTGAATGCTTCTTGGTACTCTTATAGGAAAATCGAAGGCGTTGCGTGCGAAAGTCGAGTTTTGCAATAATCTGCTCTGATGGGCGATGGTTAATTATTATTAAAATGGACACGCGAGATACAACATTTTTGATCCGATTATAATTTGGTTATTATTTTTTTATAAACTCGGCAAATTTTCGGCCACAAGATGGTCAACAGCCGTTTGCGCATAGAAAAAAGTTCGGTTACGCCAAAATGATCGAAACGTTGCTTTCAACGTCTCTTTTTCTTCACTTTTAGTATTTCCACTGGACCATTGTGAACCAATTTTAATCTTCACACATGTATAGGAAGTTTTTGATTATCTGATGCTCCCGATCGATGTCTTTAACCTCAAAGTTTACAATTTCGTCAGGTGTAAAACGCTTTCGGTAATGTAAACGATTTTGTAAACAACTTTATTGCTGGGTAAGCGAGCAAGTGTATAAACAGGCGTTTTACTAGGAATCTGCGAATGGGAACTTGTTGAAAATTTGAACCGAAAATGTAAGTAATGTTTGCTATCTTCGAAAATACTTGTGTGTCGAAAAATCCTATTTAAAAAGTCAAAAATTCGGAAAAGCTGCATGTTTTTTCTAAGTTCTATAAACGTAGTATCTTGTAACCCAAATTTTGGCTGAGTTAAAACTGCCCCCTGCCGTTTCCAGAATTTCTAGTTAAGTTCGTCGATATCTCGTTCTAATAAGATATTTGTCACGTTATAACGTCATAACGTCTGTAAGTTTAAGGTAAAATTGAAGTGTAATTCCGTTAGCTTGCGACCTGAAGATTGCACTTTTGCCTTTCTTCTCTTCGCAGTGTTTTAAATGTTGGTATTACTTTATGGCGCGAACCCAGGCCGATTTAAAAATGACCAACCTCGAAACCGCTGCAATATTAATGAACAATTCGCCGTATAGAGTTGATAATCTCGAGACTGTGTAACACCGCATAATCAATTAGCCTCGTTCGACGTTGTACCATCGAGAGTTATTTTTTTTATTCTCGGTTATATGGTATAAAGAGTGCGAGAGAGATTCATATCGACCAATGTGTTTCGAAACCCAGGTGGTGTTTTTAAATCGCCGCGTTTTCGTCAGACCGGGCTCGTTTATCATTAAAAAGCGATTCGACAGCTTCCCGTGCGTGGGAGTTATTTGGAAAATTAATTTGATAATCGCCCGTATACCTTTATGCTGTACTTTTGTGGTATGGATGTTGAATAACAAAGTTGCTTAGGGGCTTCTTATTTTAGAGACGACCTTTTTTGTCTATCATGCTCTTACGGTTCACTATGTAACTTTCCCAAAGTCAAAGTCATGACAAATTTGGAAAAAGTTGTTCCAGAAATAGCGTTTTACAACAGGATTTTTTCAAATACCTCGAGTACCTTTGTATGAAAACTGCAAATACGAACATTATAGACTAGACCGACACGACGGTACTAAATTGTCACATTTGTCACCGTTTTCCAATTACTGAGCTGATAACTTTCAATGTAGTTGAAGCTAGGGTGTGCCTTTATCATATATGCCAAATTTCAAAAAATCGGACAAAAATGTTTAACATATTGTAAAAAAAAAGTAAAAACTGACACGATACAATCCGATACAATATCGAAAAAATGTTTTAGCACAAGATCTCGGGCATCTGCTTCAATTATTTTTGCGATAGATACAACGGTTTTCAAGAAAAAAACATCTTTTGCACGCATAAAAACAATTCTTCCATTTTGTAAAAATACTCCCTTGTTCCAAGTTTTGGGTGTTTTCTAGTGAAGTGCGGAATCGAGGAAAAATCAAAATCAGAATACGGATTTTAAATCCGTTACAGATTAACAGACGCTGATCATCTACACTAATCCAGGGAAAATATTAAAAGTATCAAATTAGTAGCTTTAGCATTAGTAGAATTGTCACTATAACAGGACTGTGGGTGTCATTAAGGATGGTAGTTATCGTTGTTGGTTTTGGCGGTTACCTAAATTTTGATTTTAGAGTTTTACCTAACGTTCACCTCAAATTTAGTAAGGAACCCGTTTATTTTCGAAAAATTTGTTTTTTTTTTATTGTTTGTTGTTATTAAATCAAACAAATTTAGATAACTGGTGTTAATTTCGTAGGCAATCTTATTTATTGGGCTACCGCAAATTCGTATTCGGTTGACGACGCAGCAGCGGCGAACCGCTCCTTTGTTCCGAGAAAACATAAGAAGAGCGCTCAGCTATTACAAATCCGCTTTAATAAATTCATCAATATTAATTACCCAACAATGAGGCGCGGACTACTCGCAAGTCACCGCGACGTTTCTAAATTGCAATTAAGAATGCCAAGCCTCTCGAAAAAAAAACGACATTCCCATTACATTAACGAAATTTGCGATCAATATTGTATATTGCAAACCTAAAAAAATAACGAAAAATTGAATAAAGCCCATAACCTCTAGGAACGCTTTTGAATAATATGTTTATTAACAAAATGTCGATAGGTTTCAACTAATTCTGTAAGTATTCCCCTTTATAATGCATTTTTTGGAGCAACCTAGAAAACCAATCTCCCACCTCCCAAGTTCGATCCGGATCAAACTGAATTAGTAAAGTTCTCCAAAATATTTTATTTTATTTTACAATCTTTTATGGTTTTGACTTCGTACGCCTGTTGTAAAGCGGAAGGGACCATTCTTTTCAGTACGTGTACCACAAGCCAGGGCCGTATTTAATATGTTAGCCGACAAGAACCGTGCCTCGCGGACTGTTGTATTTTAAGAGTAGGATTTAAAAGTAAGAACCGATTTTTTATTGCATGGACTAATAATAATCGAGGAATCTGCCCGATGAAACTCTACACAAATCTGAGTACTGGCATACGGTTCTGGAACGTCATTGTGTGTCGGTTTATGTGGTAAAAACGGTACGTACTTTGGAGAACTCTACTAGGACGTAATAGTATTTTTTTATTAAACTAAGGGATCATGCAACAATGGAACGTAATCTACATTAAAAATAACATGGCGAATAGTCGCTGGCCGCCCACGAAATTTGGCCGTTTTCGGCAAAAAACTAATATACAAAGTTAACGCAACCACTCTCTACGCGAAGAAGGCAAAACGGTACCGAGTTTTCCGCACGGCATTGTACGCTTGCACAGTCGGGACATTAAAATTCCGCATCATAAATTAGCCAGATGAGATTTGTATAAGTCGCTGATTAAACAGTTCACAGGAAAACGGCTCTCGCTGCGTATTATGTGAGAAAGTTTTCTATCGTGCGAATCCATCTCGGCGGACCGGGCGGTTACGGAAATTTGATGTTCCGACACTCGAATACACGCACACACACGTAAACTCGCTTAATTATATTACTCACCGGTGATGTAAATCCGAATCAACACCGGGCAAATTAATATAACCATAAATCTTTCGTTTCTGATTGCAATTAATCGAGGCACGGCTTTAAGCAAAACCCAGCGTTTAAAGACGCCAACGTACTACGCCGGACCAATACCCACAATGCGTCGCGCGAGCCGAAGTTTCTGTTGTCGTTTAACAGGCAGGCAGGTTGTTGTTTTCTATTGTGCTTTGGTTAAGGGTGAATGACGTAATCGGACTGAAAATTAAGAAACCGGCCCCTTTATTGAAACTTTTACCTCGTACGTTAAGGCCGTTTGAGCGCCTCGCATGCGTCGGACGGCCTCTCGACTCGTGCCTGGAATGAAAATATCGCCATATTATGAATGGAGAAGTTCGTAACTAATTGTTATTATCGACGATTAGCGTGTAAACCGCGCAGAATGGTATGATGGCTTGTGTGTATGTGTGTGTAATGCCGCTGCGTGGTACTTTTGCAGGGAATACTAATTGCGCGTGCGGTCTTGCGCGCCCGCGGCGTTGCCGCGTCGCGTTTTAAGGGAAAATAAAGTGTCTCGGCGGCGGAGTGCGTTAACATTGCGATTTTATCGACGGAGCGAGGCAGTAAACTTAATTGTCGCCGTGTTCCCTGAGGAATCGGCAATGAAAAACGAGAGTCGGACAGGCAGAAGAAAAAATATCGTTGTACGAGTCTGAGAGAGTGGCGGCATTAACGTCCGAGCGGATTATCTAATAAAATAAACAAATAATTACTATTCTAAAATAATGGCGGTATAAATAACAAACTGCAATAAACTTTTAAACGTAACGCGTTTGCAACGACGGACGGAGCGTACATGGTGAACAAAGCTCTTCGTCCCAATTCAGCGAAAGTAATGCATATGATCTTTTTCGGTTTGAATTTCACAAAAGCGCTGAAACGTATTTATAAAAGTAAAATATTAGAATCGCCACAATCGGCATCCAATATCGATGGATCTATGGTACTGTCGGGAAGCTGACACATCGCCGTCTGTCTGCCCGTCGTCGCTTTTCTTTGTGGCACCCAATAGGATGTTAATTTATAGTTATAGCCCTAGAAAAACTCTAGCCCTGAGTCGCCGTGGCCAAACAA